ACAGGTTCCCCACCCCTGGACTAGTGAAAGAAAGACTCAATTTGGAGTCAGAGGATTTAGGACCAAAATCCTGTCTATATCACTTGCCACTTGTGTGATCTTAGTTAAACATCTTCCTCCCTCTCTGGGACTCAGTTTCCTTTTCTGTAAAATAAAACAGTTGAATTAATCTACAATTCCTTCCAGCCCTACAATCTAAGGATCTTATATATTTGTAAAATTGGAATAATAATAGCTAACATTTATATGGTGTGTTTTAAGATTTGCAAAGTGCTTTACATCTATCATTTCATTTGCTCCTCACAACAACCCTATGAGGTAGATGCTGTTATTATCTCCATTTTACATCCTAGGAAACTGAGGTTGAGAAAAGTAATCATCTGAGGCTGAATTTGAATTCAGATCTTCAGGAATCCAAGTCCAGCAGTCTATCCACTCTGTGACTTACTTGTGGAAAGAACATTGGATTTTCAGTCCAAAGACCTGGGATTGAATTCCAGCTGCTATCTGCTAGCTGTATGAACTTGGAAAAGTCACTTAACTTTCCTGGAGGCAAATGGAATACTTGACCCAGATGTCCCTGGGTAATAGAGATTCCCTCTGGCAAGGAATCCGATGTGATTGGAAAGATTCTAAACCTCCCTAACTCCTCCCTTCCCTAACCCACCCCACCTACTCTACCCTACCCACCCCCCAGCCTACTAATCCTAAAGACTCTTAATCTGATTAAAGCCTTGTGTGTTTACCACAACCTAAACCTGGCTCTGCCTCAATCCTTTCCAGGGCACTCCTCTTCCACTCCTGGGAGTGGTCCCCAGGCCCTGAGGGACACTGGTTACCAGCTGGGCACCTTTGTCACACAACATGCCTGGCACAGAACACAGTCTCTATCACCTGTACACATTGCCCTTTATACATTTTGTTGTTCAGTCATATCTGATTCTTCAGGACCCCATTTGGGGGTTTTTTTGGCAAAGGCACTGGAGTGGTTTGCCATTTCCTTCTCCAGCTCATTTTACAGATGAGGAAACTGAGGCAGACAGGGTTAATGACTTGCCCAGGGTCACATAACTTCAGTTATGTCTGACTTTTCGTGACCCCATTTGGAGTTTTCTTGGCAGAGATGCTGAAGTGGTTTGACATTTCCTTCTCTAGCTTATTTGACAGATAAGGAAACTGAGATCAACAGGATTAAGTGATTGGCCCAGGGTCACACAGCTAGTAAGTATCTGAGGCCACATTTGAACTCAGGAAGATGAGTCTTCCTGACTCCAGGCCTGGCTCTCTATCCACTGTGCCTCATTTTACAGATAGGGAAACTGAGGCAGGCAGTTGGTGACTTGTCCAGAATTACCCAAACAGGAGTGTGTGAGGCTAGATTTGGACTCAGATGTTCCTGACTCCAGGCCCAGCACTCTATTCATTGCACCACCTAGCTGCCCTAACAATCAGTACATCAGTAGATCAAAAAATATTTATCACTTACTTACTCCTTGCCAGTTACTGTGCTAAGGGCTGAGGATAGGCAAAGAAAGGCAAAAACAGCCCTAGCCTTAGAGGAGTCCACATTCCAATGGGAGAGACAATTAGTGAGATAACCAGGTACATACAAGATTAATGAAGATTAGGTGAAAGGGAAATCATTGGTGGGGAGGGGGATGTGGAAAGGGGAGAGGCCTCCTGCAGAGGGTGAGACTGAAGGAAGCTTGGACAGGGAGATGGAGAGGGAGGACAGGGAGGAGGGGGAGGGAAGGGAGAGAAGAGGAGGAGGGACGGAGGAAGAGAAGGAGGGGAGGGGGAGAGGAAGCAGAGAAGGGGGAGGAGTGGAGGAAAGGAAGGAGGAGAAGAGGGGAAAAAGGGGAGGAGGGGAGGAAGAGAAGGAGGGAAGAGAGGAAAGGAGAAAGAGGAGGGGAGGAGGGGGAGCATTGCAAGCATGGGAGGACAGCCAGGGTAAAGTCAAAGAGACTAGAGATGCATGAGCACACAGACCAGTGTAACTGGATTATTGAGTGTGCACAGGGAAATAAAGTATAAGGAGATTTGGAAAGGTAGGGAGCTTTACATGTGATCCTGAAGGTAAGAGGAAGCCACAGACCTTTGCTGAGCAGGCTGACATCATTGGACTTATACAATGGGAAACCTTTCTCCAACCCCAGAGATGTATTCAGTCTAACCTGTTTATACCTTTATGTGCTAGGTGGCACAGTGGTTAGAGTGCTGGGCCTGGAGTCAGAAAGACCCGAGTTCAAATCAAACCTCAGATATTTATTAGCTGTGTGATCCTGGGAAAGTGACTTAAACCTGTCAGACGGGGATAGTAATAGCACCTACCTCCCAGAAGTGTTGTGAGGACCAAATGAGATATTTCTGCCTGGAACATAGTTTTCATAAATGTTTCCTCCCTCCCTCCTTCCTTCCCCTTCCCTTCTTCCCTTCCTCCCTCCCTTTTTTCCCTCCCTCCTTTCTTCTCTCCTCTCCTCCCTCCCTTCCCTTCCTCCCTCCCTTCCCTTCCTCCTTCCCTTCCCTCCCTCCCTCCTTCCTTCCCTCCCTCCTCCTTCCCTTCCCTCTTTCACCAGAGGATGGATTGGAGTAAGGAGACAGTTAAGACAGGGAGACAAGTTAATCCTGGCAAGAAGTAATAAGGGCCTGAATTAGAGGAGGAGGTGGCCGTGTGAATAAAGAGAAGGGGACCTGGAGGAGACGTCAGATACAGATGGGTCACATAGAGTGAGTGTGAGGGAGTCAAAGATCATACTAGGATTGCAAGCCTGGCTGACCAGGAAGATGATGGTGCCCTTGACAGTAACAAGAAAATTCCCAAGAGCAGAGGATCTTCTATTGGAAAGAACACACAATGTGAAATCTGAACACATAGATCTGAATACAGTTCTGCCACTTACCTGGAGAAGGAAATGGCAAACCACTCCAGTATCTTTGTCAAGAAAACCCCAAATGAGTCGGACATGACTGAAACAACTGAACAAGCTGTGTGACCTTATGTAAGTCACTCAACCCCAACCTCAGTTTCCTTCTCTGTAAAATAATGGGCAGCTGACCATCATCCTCTAAACTCCAAACACTGACTCTTTAAGGAAGCACCCTCCACTCAACCAGAATTGCTGGACAAACTGGAAAGCAATTTGGCAGAAAGTATACTCAGATGAGCACCTACTACAGTACATTGAGGTAAGCTCCAAATTGCTTAAATGTAAACAGTCACATCATAAAGACAAATCAGAAGACAGAAGTCAGTGTCCTTTACAACTATGGCCTGGGGAAAGGGACATGGGGTTGGGATTCTTAACCAAATTATAAAAGATAAAATGGACAATTTCAGCTACATAAAATTTTAAAATAAAATCACTGCAACTACAATAAGAGAAAGGGTTGAGCAGGAGAAAAATCTTTGCATTTAATTTCTCTGATGAAAGATAAAAGGGCACTCAAATAGGGCCATTCTCTGATAGGTAAGCAGTCGAAGGCTGAAGGCTAGGAATGAACAGTTTGCAATTTTGGAGAGAAAACTATCAGCAATTGTGTGGAAAAATAATCCCCAAATAACTTTTAATAAGAGGAATGCAAATTAAACCAACCTTGGCATTTCACCTCACCCCCACCAAAGTGGCAAAAATGGTTAAAGATGAAGGGACTAGAAGACAGGCACACTGATACAATGTTGCTGGAGCTGAGAACTGGATCCCACATTCTGGAAAACAATTTGGAGTTATATGAAAAGTCACTAAAGTGTTCATTCCCTTTACCCTAAGGAGGTTAAAAAACAGAAAGGCTCCATATATAATACCAGTATATTCATAGCAGTATTTTTTTGTGGTTATTCTCAAAGGACCGAGGACATCACAAGGGTGACGTCTTGACTTGGCATGTGAATTGGATTTAAGTGAGGCAGAGCTGTGCAAATTCATCAGCCTCACTCTCTCCTCCAAAGTCAGCAGTTAGATGGGGCAGTGATGGTGCAATAGCGGTGAAGTAGGGAAGACCTGAGTTCAAATTTATCTCAGATATTTACTAGATCTGTGACCCTTGGCAAATCACTTCACTCTGTTTGACTTAGCTTCCTCATCAGTACAATGAACTGGAGAAGGAAATGGTAAACACTCCAGTGTCTTTGCCAAGAAAATCCCAAATGGGGTCACAAAGAGTCGGAAGTGGTAACTGAAAGCAGCTGGATCAGGCATCTAAACTGAGAACTTAATGAAAATCGCATCCTCCCTCTAAGTAGACATGGGGGCGGGTCTCTATCTAGCCCTCAATAATAACTGGTGGCATGTCTATGGCACAAGGAACTTCAGCCACCTTGGGAGGTGAGCGCTGTGATTATGCCCATTTTACAGATGTTTGCCCAATGCACTAAGTCTTCTGGACTCCAAGCCCAGCGCTCCAGCACCCCGCAGACTGTGGCATGCTGTCAGCCACTGCGGCTTGCAGCGGTGCTGGGTGGTTTTGCTTAACTTCTTTGTTCAGAGGGAAGGTGTACTTGCAAACAATCGGTGGTGTCTGTAACAAAAACCACCGATAAAACAAAACAAAACAACACAGTTTAACGGAGGCAGCTGGGCCTCCATGGTCCCTTCTAGCTCTAAGTCCGGGACCCTAAGCCTCGGCACTCTTCGCACGAGCACAAAGAGCACCCCGAGCCCCAGCACATTCGCTGAACCCCGGCAAGTTCGCTCGCCGAGGCACAGAATCTCCACAAAGGCTCCTGGGTGCAGAAGCCAAAGCTCACAGCCCCTCCACACACACACAGTGAGCCCCATCCACACGCGCTATCCCGCACCACACCCACGCACGCACACGGATACACACTCATCTCAACCACCCCGGGGCAGCCCAGAGCGCAGCAGGGGTCAGGCCTTCCCAGGAGCCTCGGAGCCGTCCCCAGGCCCCCTCCCCCGGGACGCTCGCACTCACCGGGCCCCGCCCCGCCCCAAGAGCCAAGCAGGGCAAGACAGCTCCGCCGCGGACGCCGATTTCCTGGGGAGGGCGGGGCAGGGAGCAGCCAATGAGGGCTCGGGACGGCGGCGCGTCACCGGGCCCTGGGACGCGGAGTTCCAAAGTGGCTGCAGAGTTGCTCTGTGGGTTAGGGCCGCGGCTCTCGCTTTTGCCTCCGGGGCTCCCCAGGCCCCGGCCTCTGGGAAGGATGGGGCGTGGAGCCGGGGGGGTGCAGTGGGGGGGGACTGGGCCCCGCGAGGCAAGGCCGGCCTGCGCTGGAGAGGGCCGTGCCGACCGCACCTCCTTTGAGCAGCCTTCCCAGATTGGGCCGGGAAGAGCGGGAGGAGGGCCCGGGAAGGAGCGGAGCGGGGCTCCGCCTCCCCACCTCCGCTCTAGCTCCGGGTGCCGCCGCCAGAGGGCTCGCGCGTGGGCCCGGGCCCCTTTCCCTGCTTCCCCGCCCCGCCGAGCCCCTTGGCGCGTCTGCCTGCACAGTCACCTTGGCCCTGGCCCTGGCCCTGGCCCTGACCCGACTGCCCAGAGCCCTCTGAGCCCGCCAGGTATCGCCCCGGCTCTTTCCCCCCTCGGGCAATCAGTCCGAACGATCTGCGACCTCCCGGAACACCCAGGTCCCACCTTGCCCCGCCCTTCCTCCCCCAGGCCCCCTGGTCTCTCTCCCCACACCCCCTACACCCCCATCCTTTCCCCCCTCTCCTCCAATGCCTGGTCCCCTAGTCCGATGGACGCTTTCTCCCCACCCCCGCTACACACTAGTACTTTCCTTTCTCCCCCGTTCTCCAATGCCTAGTCCCCCAGTCCGATGGACTCTCTCTCCCCACGCCCACCACACCCTGGCTCTCCCCCCACACACACACACCCACCCCTGATCCTTTTCTGGCCCCTCCAGCTCTCCTTGTTTTTCTTAGGAAGCCCTTTCTCCATTCCCCACCACCTTCTTTGCTCCTCCCCCCCCCCAGGTGGGCCCCAGGCTGAGTCTAGGCCAGAATGTGAGTCCTGGGAGGAAGCAGTTGACTGTTGTGTCCTTGGCCACCTGCCAGCCCAGCTTGGGACAAGCAGGATCAGCAGCCATGATTTGTGCCAGAATAGGACCGTGTAGCACATGTACCTGTGTTCACAGCCTTGGTGCATGTAGGGCCTGTACCCATCTGAGCATGGATTCATGTTAATGAATTCGATGAGCATTAATCAGACACCTATCTGCAAGACCCTGTGGACCCTGGTGTGTGAAGTCTCAGTAGCCATGATCTTCACATAGATAGGAGCCATACCCACATCCTGGGCATGTGGGTGGCTTGTATCCGTTTAGAATGTCTAAGGGTCATACCTCTATCCTCAGCATGTTACAGGTGAAGAAAGAGTTACCCGGATGTGTCACTGGATGCCTCGGGTTTCATTTGGTTTTTATTTGAAGAAGTACAGCCATGTGGCTTTAGCTGCCCTGGAGTCAGAAAGACCTGAGCTCAAAACTGGCTTTATACTTAATAGTTGTGTGACCTTGGGCAAGTCATTTAACCTCTGCCAGCTTCACTTTCCTTAATTGTAAAATAGGAATAATGACATCAACTCCCCCCCACACCCTGTTGTGAAGATTAAATGAGATATTTGTAAAATATTTTGCAATTCCTGGCATATAGTAGGTGCTTAATAAATGCACATTGCCTTTCTCTTCCCTGCCATGTACTTAGCATATAACAGTACCTTCCGTGCCCCCACGCTAGACACCTTTCTTATGTGTCTGTCCTATGGCCCTTGCCTTCCTCTTAGTCCTCAGGCCTATTGCCCATTTTCCTCAAGGCCAATTTACCTTCCCAGACCTTGGTTTTCCAGCTCCTCCAGGACCACAGCCCTAAGGCTGTGACCCTAACCCACCTGTGCTCTGTACCCTGGCAGGCCCAGTACTGGAGGTGAAACATGACCAGTGTACAGTCCAGTGAAGGCACCATCTCTGTGCAGGGACAGAAGCTCTTCTATAGGGAGGCCCGGCCTGGTAGTGGACAGACCCCACGCCTCTCGGTGCTTCTACTCCATGGCATCCGCTTCTCCTCGGAGACTTGGCTCAAGCTGGGCACACTGGACAAACTGGCCCAGGCCGGCTATCGGGCAGTGGGCATTGATCTGCCAGGTATGGGACAGGCAGGCCTGAGTTCCCTGGAACAGGTTTAATTCCTTCATTCAGTGGAAGAGTGTGTGTTTGGGCCTAGGGAGCAGTGCATGGCCCTGGGAGCTGAATTTGAATTGTGTCGGAATGGATGGGGCTACAGGCTCTGTTGATGGAAGTACCTTCATTCAGTCAACAGGAGACAGGGGCAGTGATTAGGAAAATTGGAGCTGCCTGGGCTAGGATTTCAGAGCCTTCTGAATAGGTGTACAAGGGGGTTGGGAAGATTCGAGGTCTTGTACCTTATACTTCCAAGTACTAAAAACAGAGAGAAGTCTCTCTACACAGCTGTTTAATCCCCCCTACCCCACCAAAAGGGAGGGGCCCGGTTTTATAGAACGTCAGAGTTGGACGGGGACCTCAGGAATAATCTAGTGCAATTCCTTCATTTAAAACAGGCCCAGAGAGGGTAAAGCGCTTGGCCATGTCACAAAGCCGGTAAATAGCAGAGCCAGAACTAGAATCCACATCATCTGACTTATAGCCCAGGGCTCTTTCCACAGTACAAGTGTGTCTGTGGTGGGTGTCTAAGCAGGCTCGCTCAAGGGGTGGGGAAGGCCCTAGATCTCCACCCTAACTTCTAGCCTAAGCTATGCCCTGCCTCTCTCCTTCTGCCTCCTCATGGGTAGAGCCCTAAGCTGGGCAATACAGGGAAGAGAATTGGGGGGTGGGAACACAGCTTCACCCTCAAGGACACGCCCTCCTCCCCAGGTAAAAAGGCAGGCCACTTGCAGGCAATAAAAACCTAATGGTTATTTGCACACACAGATACTCAAGCAGTCCATCTCTTTGCTAATGATCTCTTTATTCAGCCCAGATCTCTCTGCTGGACTACCACCATATATCTCCAACAGGGCGTCCCATACAGGGGCAACTAGGTGGCGCAGTAGATAGAGCACCAGCCCTGAAGTCAGGAGTACCTGAGTTCAAATCCGGTCTCAGACCAAACACTTGACACTTACTAGCTGTGTGACCCTGGGCAAGTCACTTAACCCCAAAGGCTTTAAAAAAAAAAAAAGAGGGCATCCCATACACATCTCACACTCACCATGTCCACAGCAGAACAAAGACCTGGCTTCTAGTGCCAGCTCTCAATTTGCAACCATTACCCCGGCACACACACACACACACACACACACACACACACACATCCCTCCCTCCTATTGTCAAGGGCACCTCCATCCCCCCCAGTCACCCTGGCTCACAACCACAGGCTCATCCTCAACTTCTCACTCTTGTTCAACCCATAGATCCAACTCGTTGCTAAATCTTGTCATTTCTGCTTTCCGGACATCTCTCCCCTTTCTCCACTCATGTGACCACAATCCTCCTTCAGGCCCTTCTTGGCTAGTCAGTTACCTAAACCCCCTCTCTTCCCTAGCACCATCCACTCTCCAGTGCTAGGAGTGGTGTGGCCACAGTGCTCTGTCTACTATAGGCATTTAATAAATAACTGTTGAATGTAGAGTGGACCTTTTTTAAAGGGATATCCACTTCTTGCCTGGATTACAGCCTTCTGACTGTTCTCCCACCCTCCAGTTTCTCCCCACTCTAATGCATTCTCCAGCCAGTTACCAGATCACCCCTTCTCTGCTCCGTATTGCCTCCAGCATCAAATATAAACTTTTTGACATTTAAAATCCTTTATTATCTGGCCTCTTCCTACCTTTCCAAATTAGCTAGGTATAGTAGGTGCTTAATAAGTGCTTTGTTCCCTGGTCCTTGGTAAGCACAGAATAACCTTATTTGATTTTTACAAGAACCTAGTAAGACAAATACTATTGATATTATCCCTGTTTTACAGATGGGACAAATGAGGCTTAAGGGGGTCACATAGCTAGTAAGTGTTAGAGACAGGATTTGAACCTAGCTGTGTCCTGACTCCAAGTCCAACATACTTTCTCTCTCTCTCTCTCTCTCTCTCTCTCTCTCTCTCTCTCTCTCTCTCTCTCTCTCTCTCTCTCTCTCTTTGCTAGGCAGTAGGGTTAAGTGACTTGCCCAGGGTCACACAGCTAGTGTGTGTCAAGTGTCTGAGGCCGGATTTGAACTCAGGTCCTCCTGACTCCAGGGCCAGTGCTCCATCCACTGCACCACCTAGCTGCCCCTCCAACACACTTTCTACACTGCACTCTGTAAAGGGAGAGGGTTGGGCTAAATAATAGTAGCTAGTGAGTATTTTCATACTTTAAGGTTTGTAAAGTGCTTTACAAATAGTAACTCATTTTATGCTCATGACTCTGGGAAGCAGGTGCTGTTTCCCCATTTTGCAAATGAGGAAACTGAGGCTCAAGGAGCTTGTGACTTGCCCAGGGTCACACACCTGGTTAGAGGCAGGATTTGATCTCAGCTCTTCATGACTCCAAGTTCAGTGCCCTATCCATACAGCACTAATACCTTTAGTCCCTTTTGGCTCCAAATCCTATCTGATACAGAATTGTTGATTGACTAGAGTAGGTTGGGACTGATGATCAGGGAAGGTTTCTTGGAGTAGGTGAACCATTTGTTTTCCCCAGCTTACCTACCCACTGTCTTGTCTTCTCTTCCCTCTCTTTCCCTCTCTTCTTCCCCTCCATCCCTCCAGGTCTAGGACACTCCAAGGAGGCAGTTGCCCCCACAGCCATTGGGGAGCTGGCCCCCAGCAGCTTTCTGCAAGCCGTGTTGGAGGCTCTGGAGCTGGGCTCCACAGCTGTGGTCAGCCCATCTCTGAGTGGAATGTATTCACTGCCCTTCCTCACAGCACCGAGCACCCAGCTCTGTGGCTATGTGCCTGTTGCCCCAATCTGCACAGATAAAGTCAGCCCCGCTGACTATGGCCAGGTGAAGGTATGTGTGTCTGAGGGGAAAGGGGAATGAGAATCAGAGGCAAGAACGGAACAGAGAAGGAATGACCGAGGGCATGCACGGACTGAGGCTGGTCATGATATTCCCCTGCTAGATTAGAAGCTAGATTGGAGCAGAGGAACTCTGAATTAGTGAAACTATTCTTTAAAAAAAAATTAACTTTTATTTTATATTTTTTTCAATTAACAAGCATTTATTTTCTCTCCTACCTTGCCTTTGGAAGAAAGGAAGGAAAGAAGGAAGAAAGGAAGAGAAAGAAAGAAAGAAAGAAAGAAAGAAAGAAAGAAAGAAAGAAAGAAAGAAAGACAGACAGACAGACCCTTGTAACACATATGGATAGTCAGTTACCTAAACCCCTTCTCTTCCCTAGCACCATCCACTCTCCAGTGCTAGGAGTAGTGTGGGCACAGTGCTCTGTCTACTATAGGCATTTAATAAATAACTGTTGAATGTAGAATGGACCTTTTTTAAAGGGATATTCACCCTTCATGGAAGGGGGTTGACCAAAGTTAGAGGACACCAGCCCCTCTGGGTTTGACCTTTATTTGTTCTTTTGATGTGGGACCCCTTAATTAGGGGAAGCTTCCTATAGTTTTGCCCCCTCATGTTTCTCATTTCCTTTCTCATCCAGCTGACCCACAGGTTGAGAACATTTACCTCCTCGTAAATGAAGTTAGGGTCAGGGGACCTGGGGGTCAGGAGTTAGGGATGGCTGAGGTGAACAGGTACCTGATGGCTTCCTCTGCCCTTCCTCTACTCTCTCCCAGACTCCCACCCTGATCGTGTATGGAGACCAGGATCCCATGGGGGAGTCAAGCCTCAAGCACCTGCAACAACTGCCTAACCACCAGGTGATGGTGATGGTGGGCACGGGACACCCCTGCTACCTGGACAGCCCAGACGAGTGGCACTCTGGGCTCCTGAATTTCCTGAATGGGCTGTCGTCATAAGGGCCCAGGCTAGTCCAGGCTACCCTGGACCCACTCCTTCCTGATTTGGGGGAGGGGAGGGGACTGACAGCCACATCTCTGCCCCTTTGACCTGGCCTCTTACCTCTCTTTCTGGCCGGCCTGTCTGACAATCTCCCTGCCCGCATGGCTGACCTGCCAGCTGTCTGTCCATTTCTCCATCTGCTTGTCTGCTCAGAGGGAGCTGTCTGTCTAGTGCCTGGTCTCTCTGTCTGTCTTTCTCTCTTTCCTCAGAGCTATAGGTGAATGAGAAGAATCAAGAACATTAACAAGGTGCAAACCAGGGATCCAGTCCACACGAAGGGTAATTGATTAGAAACATTCCTCTGCTCCCTTTCCTGCAGGCTTCTCCACACCACCTCCCCTTTCCTCTGTCTGCCCCCACGTGCGCATATAGGATTACAGATGTACACTCACACATACCTACCTGTAGGCATATATCTAGGAACATCACATACATGCACATGTAGCAGCACACACTTGCCAGCTGAGGTCTCCAGGGGCAAAGGAGCTCCCTGGGATGGGGAGGGGGGTCCTGGCCCCAGGGTTCTGGGGGTGTGCAGCTCTGGAGTTTGGTGCCGTGGGCTGGGGGTTCAACTCTCCATTAGTGCTTCTTTCTGGCCTGTGCTGGGGGAAGGAGGTGACTGTAAACAGTTGTTGAAGGGATCTCCTTCCTCTTTCTATGCTGATACCTGAGTCCCTGACACTCATGTCTGCCTCTTTCTGCCTTTGAATCATGCGGGGTTGGGAGAGGAACAGAAAAATAAAGAGATCAGACCCTCTAGTTGTTCATCTTTGTCTCACCAGCTCAAACATTGTTACCTTGACCATACCCCTTCCTCATTCCATGCCCCCCCTTCCTGTCCAGCAGGTGGCCTTGTGACCCTAGTCTTCCTGTCCAGATGGAGAGTAGACTTGAATTCCACCCCACCCCCCTCCAAGGTCCCAAGAGGCTCAGAGCACCCAGGTCGATCCGATTACCTTGAAGGGAATTTGCTGGATGGGGGTGGGGCAGCCCCAGATACAGAAGGGTTAATTGCCCACCTTACCTCCTGCTCTGGCCTCTGTGTGTAGAAAGTTCTTGAACTTAGACACGCACCACACCCACCCCAGAGAGTCCTAATGAAGGGGCCGGTGTTGTGTAAGGGATAGAATACCAGATTTGGTATTAGGAGAGCTGGTTCCAGATTCTCCTTCTTACTGGCCTTGTGACCTGAAGTCACTTCAGCTCTGATCAGATTTCATCATCTGTAAAATGGGAATAATAATTCATTCACTACCTACTTTGCAGGTGTTTTACGTAAAATGCTTTGAAAGTCTTCAGATACATTTTTTGGGGCCTTTTGGTGAGGCAGTTGGAGTTAAGTGACTTGCCCAGGGTCACACAGCTAGTAAGTGTCAAGTGTTTGGTCTGAGGCCAGATTTTAACTCAGGCCCTCCTGACTTCAGGAATGGTGCTCTATCCACTGTGCCACCTAGCTGCCCCAGGCTTTCTTTTCTTTTCTTTTTTTAAAATTAAAAAAAAATTTTTTTAAACCAGATTTCATTAATCTAGGAAACTTCCAGTGAGCATGTTCCCTGTACCACAGGGAGAGCACCTGCTTGAGCAGGGTGGTTGTTGGGATCAAATGTAAAAAGTGTTTAGTGCAGTTGCTGGCACACAGTAGGTGCTATATACTTATTCCTTTTCTGCTTCCCTTCCAAAACAAAGGTACTTTCATTACCTGCTCCCTAACTTTCTCATAATTGCCTGAGGCACTTAAAATTAAGTGATTTGCTCCCAAGAGTCTCTGGGCCAGTAAGTGTCTGAGCCGGGACTTGAACCCAGGCCTTCCTGACCCACAGGTCATTCCCTTGTACCGTGTTGGCTCTTTAAATATTTATTATTATTGATAATGAGAAAGGGGTGTCAGAAGGAGAAACTGAGGTCAATGAGTCCTCTCCCAGTTGCCATCCTTGGCCCCAGGTAAGGGGAGGGGTGGGCTCACTTCCAGCAGCTTTCTGTTGGGTTAAATGTGAGCCCTTGCCCCCCTCTCCCTTCTTTCTCTCCTCTCCCCCTACACCCCATACTAGGTTCTCCAGCTGGAGTGACACACCCAGGAGGGACTCGGGGCCACTGGGATTTAGAGTATAGAAAAATGTGGCTTAGGTCTAAAGTAGTTCTTGGGGGTGTGTATCCCTTCCTCTTCACACACCCTGCAACACCCTGCCCACACCCAAATAGGGAGACCAGAGAGAGTCCTTGGAAATCCTCTAGTCCACATCCTTCATTCTGAGGGAGAGGAGGAGAAATGGGAAGAGAGAAGAGGCGACCCACAGGCAGCCAGGCAGGAGGCAGAGGCTGGGAGCCGCTCACAGGGGGCCGGAGGAGGATGGGAGCCCACAAGGGCAGGGAGCTGAGCAGAAAGGAGACAGTGGCCCGGAGAGAAGCAGGTGGGTGCAAGGGAGGGGGCGCTGAGCATCCCGTGCTAGCCCGGTCAGTGCATCCCCGGGGAGGGGGCAGCCCTGGCCTCCCTGGCATCTGGGCTGGGCTGGAGCTCGAGGCTGCGGCATTGTTGGGGCCCTGGCGCCTTTATCTGCTGTAATCGGATCCCAGAGGGAGGGGAGGGGGCTGGGGGGAGGGGAGGGGCTGGCGGGCAGGCGGGCGGGCAGGCCGAGGGAAGGGAGGGGAGGGAGGGAGGCTGGGCGAGGGGGGGCACACATATTCCCGTGCTCCTGGCCCGGCTCGGGCTCGCCTGTCAAACACTTCATTGTTCGCAGCTGATGTCACTAGCAGTTGTGAGCGGCCGCCTCTCCCGGGGACAATGTGGCACTGAGCGGCCCAGCCACCCCCCCAGCGCTGCAGGACAGACCCCAGAGGTACCGGCAGGCTGGACTGGGCTGGGCTGGGCTGGACTGAGCTGGGCTGGGCTGGGCCGGACCGGGGAGGGGGAAGGGGCAGGGACCCTGCTTGGGGAGGACAGGGACAGCACCCTGGGCTGGGCAAGCGGGCAGGGGGCACAGCAGACGCCTGGCCCTGCGGGGGCACTCGGGAGAGACCCTTCTCCCAGCAGGTGACTCCAGGGCCCCAGCAGGCAGGGGCGTCAACCACATACCCCCAGCCGGGCCCTGGGGAAAGTTGGAGATGGGGTGGGGGCCTTTCCTAGGGGGCTCAGATTTCTGGGGTGGGGGCCAGGGAGGGAAGAGGCCGCAGTGCTGGACCTGGGGCTGCAGGGAACACACCCTGCTGGCCCCCAAGGGACAGGGCAGAACCAAGGACGCTTGCGCAGGCGGGGCTGGGATAGGGGGCAGGGAGGGGTGGGCCTGGCAGGCCAGGTGCTGATTTGGTTGCTGTCCAGGGCCCTGTACCTACCCCCCCCAACCGCAGGTTCTTTGATTCAGCGCCCTCCCCTCCAGCTTTCTCTCCCCTAGCTTCGCCATCTCATCCCCTGAACCCCTGCTCTGCTTCACAGTCAGACACCCAGACACCTGTAATACTTACAGCCAAGCTCCTCCACTCAAGGCACCTGACCTCCATCACCCACTCCCCACATTCTCAAGCTGCCTGACCTGATCCGAGCTCTCCTGATCCCCAAGACACCCCTACTTTTTCTATCCAAGTCCCCTGCCCCGTAACTTCAGCTTTTCCTGGCCCAGCCTCATTGCCAACCCCAGACCCCACTTCTGTCTTACTGCCTTGCTCAACGTCCAGCCCTGACTGGCCCAGGTACCCCTACTTCCTCCAGCCAAGTAGCTCCAATCTTTTGGATCCTGGGCTCCCAACTTAGAATAGGGATGGATACCTGAAGTTCTGGACAGCTGGACGTCTCCCCCTGTTGTCCCTCCCATACTCTTGGAGTCAGAGGCGCCTCCTATCCTTTTCCCCAACTTCTGAGGTTTTTCATCTTAGCTTAGATTCAGTGGCCCCCACCATGTAGGGCCCTAGCACCAGCAGGACCACGCGAGTAGCCCTAGCAAAGGCAGGGAGGTGCCCACTGCCTGCTCCGCTCTGACTGCTGTCTTATGACCTTTGGCATTTCAGGGCCCCTGCCTCTCTCTATCCATTCCACCCATTCCCTCTGAGGGAAGTGGTACTCAGAAGGGGGAGCACTGGGTACCTAGAAATGCCAGGGCCTCACCTCCCTGCAGCCTCCGTTTGTAGCTCTCCTAGGCTTGGCAACCCCACCCCTATCGTTATGCGCAGTCAGGTTACCCCAGCTCCCCTCCCCTTTCCAAGACCCCTCCCCACCCAGGGTCCCAGTTCTCTTCCTCCCAAGGAATAGCCTCCTTGAGGTCCCAGCTTCAATCCTGCCCAGTGTTCTGGATCTCCTATGCCAGGTCCCCCCCACCAAGGGATACCCCTTCCAGGGTCCTAGCTGCTCAGCGTCCTTGCTTCCCTCCCCAGTAGCCCCCCCTCATCAGCATGCAGAGCTGGACGGTCCAAACACAAGGGGATTGTTCTCCCTGGTTTCTCAGAGAGGGGGGCCTGGGGGGGGATGCCCACAGCCCACACACCCCAGCCAGGCCCAGGCCAAGGCAGAGGGAGGGATAGAGGCAGACAGCCTGTGCTGAGACCCAGCCCTTCTGCCCCCTAGCTCAGTGGCTGCCCTTTACTCTAGTGCTTGGTCCCTTCCATCCCCTCCTCTCACTGTCCCACTGGCTCTAGGTACTTGGGTTGTACATCAGGAGACCTGGGTTCTAGTTCTAGCTGTGGCCCTGACCTTGAGCAAGTCATGGAACCTCTTGGGTCTTGCTTCTTCGTCTATAAAATGGGGAAGGGGAGTTAGACCTGATCGCCTTCAAGGGCTGTAAAAGCCCTAAGATTTGTTTAAACAATGCAACAATCGGGTTAGCTCCCTCAGGCCCGAGGGTGCCCAGCAGGAGTCACCCACTTTCCTCCTCTCCCGCATCCCTTGGGTTGGTGCTGGACGGTGGATCAGGACCCGTTTCCAGCCCACCGATGCTTGCCCTAAACCTACTCCCTGGTTCTTGTCTCTCTTCCTGCCTCTTCCTCATCCTATAGTCTGTCCACCTCCTGTCCATGACTCAGTGGGGTAGGGATTGGGGTCAATGGAGATTTCCCAAAGTGAGAGGTTGACAGACCTCTCCCCTCCCAGGACCCAGATCCCAGGACCGTTCAGTCATTGCTCCCCGCTATTTTGTCTCCCCTAGAGAAGAGATGCTAACAGGTCAGTAACCAGGCTTTGGGCTCCTCTCAATCCTTGGGAGTGTGGGAAGGAATAATCCAGGGATTGTCAGGTTAATACCGTGAAGAGCTTGAAGCATCTCTAAGGGTGTTCTGTCCCTCCCTGCCCTGAGCTCGGTGCCTTCATGGCCCATCCCTCTCTGTCTGGAGCTGAGCCTGACAGCCAAGAGACCAAGGCAAGTGACTTCATTTGCTTGATTGGCTCTCCCAACCTCCCTGGGCCCTGACTGTCCTGGGATTCAGCTGGACCATCCATTTCTGGGAGAGGTTGGTATAGACAGGGAAATGGAGCCTCTAAAACACGTCCAGAATAAAAGATCCAGAATAAAAGGATCAGAGTTTTAGAGCTAGAAGGTAACCCAGAGATCATCTCCTCCAACCCACTCATTTTGCTAATGAGGAAACGGCCAAAAGTTCCTTACAACTTGCCCAAGGTCAGTGAGTGAATGGCGCAGCCAGAATTTGAACCCAATCCCTCGAACTCTAGATCCACAGCTCTTTCCAGGACACCACACTGCCTTTTATAAAAGTGACTTACAGTATATGATGGTGAATTTTTTCAAATTCCTGGGTTGTGTCCACAGACTGCTACATATCTAGATTTCTAAATATTGAGAGAAAACTTTGTTCTTCTATCTTGTCTACTACTACGCATCTCTTATGAAGGCAATCTCTTTGATGAACAGCTAGGGCTAGTTAAAGAAATTTTGGTTGCTCACAGAAAAAAAAAATAGCATTTTTGGAGGGAGAGGCCAGAAATAATTAATGACAGCTAATTTATAGGATTGCCTTAGCCACGCAGATACAAAAACTTTTTTTTAAAGAATCCGATGGGCTTGTGAGGAAGGGTATATGCTGATGGGAGGGGGGGGGCCTTGAAGCTGATCATTTACCCTCTTTTCCCATCTCCAAGGGTCTTACTCTGATTCTTTCCCCCCTTGGTCCCTGGGGGGGGGACAGCCTGAGGGCCCTCGAACTGGTAGCAGGCTTGACAGAGAGGCCTACTAAGCATAAAATAGCTAGGAGCTGGCATCCAGGCCTAGGTGCTAAGTAAGAGCTAGGGGGAAATCACTCCAATCTAGGACAGCCTAACTCAAAAGCAGTTGCCAATAGGCTGTCCCTAGGGTTGGTGAGGGATGTGTAGCAGGCACAAGAGGAGTTTGGGGAATGGGGCCTAAGAAAGGAGTGTGGGGTGAAGAGCTACCTCCAGGAATGGGCCTGAGCCCTGCAGCCAAGCACAGAAGCCCACCCCCACTCCATGCCACTGGGATCCTCCTTCTGGAGCCTGAACTGAAGGGGAGAGGCAGCAGAGGGAGGGAGGGAATCCCTCCATGGGCACTTTGGAGTCAACTCACCCCCACTCCCTAGCTCTAAGAGCCTTCTTCCCTACCCACCCCACCCCCACTGGATTGTTCTGCCCTAGAACAAAGCCCGGGTGGACACTCGATCCGAGGGGGAGGGGGGCTAGCTAAGCCCCCAGCCCTTTGCTGGGGCAGCTGTCACAGGAGAGAGACAGCTGGAGGGGGGAGGGGTAGGGAAAGTAGGGGGAGGGGAGAGAGGGGGGTCAGGCTGCTTACACAGCTGTCGCCCTAGTGCCCCATCCAGCAGCGTGGGTGGTGGGTGGGAGTGGGAGAAGGCTATAGGAACAGGGAGCACTGGGGGCTTGGGAAGAGACCCTGGGAGCTGGCTCCATGGGGGTTGGGGGCCCATGGGGAGGATTTGCTAGAAAACCAAAGGGTAGGAGCTATATAGGCAGTCTCTTGCTGACAGAAAGGCTATGAAGAGGGAGCTGTGCCCCCCAAACCCCCAGAGGTGAGGGTGAGGTCAGTCTGTCCTGACGCGTGGCAGCCACATGGCCCTGGGCGGGGGCCCAACGCCCACTGTCACCCTGCCCGACCTGGCCAGAGCAATAAATAACTGCAGAAAGCCAGGCCTGGAATGACAGATAAGCAGTGGGCTCGCAGATCCCAAGAGCCCTGAAGGAGCTGGTCCCCGGCTGGGGTCAGAAGAGTGCTGCCGAGCAGGCAACGGAGACACCAAGGATTCCATCTCTCGCCATCCTGGATAGGGTCCTGCCCTACAAATGTCAGAGATGAAGATCCCAGATACTCTTTAGTCTAGATTTCTCATTGTATCAATGAGGAAATAGCCCACAGAAGGCAAGAAAGTGGCAGAAATGGGGAAGAGAGACTGGGTCTTTTCTTTGTATCCTCTCCCCGTTCTGATACTCTGCCCCTGCAGAGAAGAGAACAGAGCTGGTAGCCACCCTAGGAGCTGCAGGCTGTGAAGGAGCAGACAGAATTCAAGGAGACTAGTGTGCTTCCATATAGAATAACAGTCAAGATGGTAATAAGCATTCTACAGGGAAAGACACCCTGACCCACACCCCCCTCAGAGTCCGGCCTATCAGTGGGGACACTCCACCCCCAGCAGAAGGGGTGGTATGCAAAGAGCACACCACCCCCTGTTACTTGTAGGTGGGAAATGGCTTGCTTGGGTAAGAGGGTCAGTGTGGGAAGGACCATGGCTCTGTCTCACTAGAGATGGGACTTGGGGCTCAGTCTGTCGCCAAAGTCAGGAGCCTGTTTGTTTCTCCGCCACGCATATGAGCTGTGTTCCCCTCATTTGGTGTGTCTAGCTCGCCCCGTTCACCAGGCCACTTTCATCTTTGGGCTGGTTGGGTTGTTTCAGGGGGCGGGGGCCTGGCCAATGCAGCCTGAGCAAGGATTTCCAAGCAGGATTAAGGTCTAGGATTAAAACTGGTGGGGGGGAAAGGGGCCAAGACCTGGGAGGGGAGGGGCAGGTGGCAGGGAGGGGCTCTGAACTGTAGGGGTTTAATCCTGGCCTTGTGCTCAGCCCCACCTTCTTCAGGGGGGTCCTGGTAATAACATTAATCACCCCTGATGTTCATATACTACTGTCTGCTCCTCTCAAAGCTCTTTCATATTTCATAGTCTGGTGGGGCAATAGAGTGGTCAGTAAACTTTTCAGTGCCTACTATGTGCCAGGCATTATGCTAAGTACTGGGGACACAAAGACAGACCAAAGGCAGTCCCTGCCCTCAGGGAGCTTACAGTCTCACGAGGATAACACACCAACAATTATGTACAAATAAGATTCATACAGGATAAATTGGAAAGAAAAGGAAAAGCACTAGAATGAAGGGGAATTGGGAAAGGCTTCTTATAAACAAAGAAACTAGGGGGCAGCTAGATGGCGCAGTGGATACAGCCCCGGCCCTGGATTCAGGAGGACCCGCGTTCAAATCTGGCCTCAGATATGTAACACTTGCTAGCTGTGTAACCCTGGGCAAGTCACTTAATCCTCATTGCCCACCCAAAACCAAAACAAAAACATAAAGAAACTGAGGCCCAGAGAAGGAAAGTGAGTTGTCCAAAATCACACACCAAGTTAGGGTTAGAACTGCTAGAACGTACAGCCACTGTCTCCTGACTCATAGGCTAAGAATTCTAATAGAGATAGGGACTGGAACCGTGACTTCCTTGGTATAGGGAGCTCCCTCTATTAATGGTGATTGGCACCTTCTCTGTGATTTACAGTCCTCAGGAGTTTCCTAGACCTCTGGGAAATTGCATGCTTTACTTACCCAGGGTCACACAGCCAATATATCAGAAGTGAGACTTGAATCCAGCTCCTCTTGACTCTAACCCCAGCTCTGCTGCTGTACTGACACTGCTGATCAGTATGAGACTTTTTAGACTATTTCGTAATTAGGCAGGACATAGATTTCCCTCTAGAGCATATTGCTTCCCTGAAGGAAGTCACAACCTGGGGGAGGCAGAGGAGGGTTGGAGTCAGGGCCTGCATCTAGAGAGTAGACCCAGGCCAAAGGCTGTGCCTCAGTGGTGCAGGCAAGAGGTCTAACTCTAAGGTTTGTAGGTTGAAGGAGTGAGTATGGGCTGGGGTGGCCAAGGAGGACTTCCCAGAGAAGGTAGATTTTGAGCTGTATTCTGAAGATTGAGAAGTGGATGGGAAGGCATGCAATGACCTCTGTAAACAAAGATGTGGAGGCCAGAAACCTATGAGAGATAAGGAGGAAACCCGGCCAGGCGGGAGATAAGGGGCCATACAGGGAGGAATGGGAAATGAAGCTGGAGCCATGTCTTAGAGGGCTTCACACCAGGCTGAGTTGGGACTCTTCCAGAAGGCCTTAAGGAGCCCCAGAAAGATACTGAGAAGGTGACGGGAGTCCCGTGGGGTGGCTGACAGCTACACTACCTTGCTAAGGCCCCACGGGTCTATCCTGCCTTTGGAAGGTTGGTGAAGATGCCTATCTTTGGGGTATGGACAACATAACCTCTCATGCCAATGCTAGGGATCTCCCCAACTCCCATCCTCCTCAGCTGTGGTCATTAGATGTCACCAAGAGGTGAGTCTATCATTAGTCTGTTCTGATGATTGGGCGCTAGTAGGAAGTGTTGCTGTATGTGGATAGTCTCGCATTGATATAGAGCTTGACAGCTGACAAAGCCCAATTTCATCTCCTCCCATTTCATGCTCACAGACTCCCTAGGAAGGCTGTGACAGAGGTAAGGCCCAAGAGGAGGAAAACTGCTTGCCCAGACTAGGGCCAGAGCCATATTGAGGACCCAGTTTTCCTGACTCCGAAGGATGGGCCCTGAGTGTCTTCCTTCACTGATTTTTGGCACCAGAGCAGAAGGGGCCCACGCGATCCTCTCTCTCCTCTGCTGTTGCAGAGCAGGCGGCCATCAGGCCAGGTGGATGCACGGTCGGGCCACCTCCTCGGTGGCAGTCTCCCCGGACAGAATGAGTGGCTCTGACCCAGGGCTGGAGGAGGAACCAGAGCTGAGCATCACCCTCACGCTGCGCATGATCATGCATGGAAAGGCAAGGCAATGCATTGATTCTGTGGTTACTGTGTGCTAGGTACTGTACGAAGAGCTGGGAATGCTGGTAAATACTGGCAAAAAACACTGCCTTCAGAGAACATACATTCTAATGGAGGGAAGACCACACCCAAAAGGGAGTTGAAAAGTGGGAAGAGGGTGGGATGAAGCTACCCTGGTGTGGGGGCAGAGTGTTGAAGGAGCCTCCCCGCTCCTCACACCCCCAGAAGGGAATGAAGGTTGGCTAGTCTGACTCCCTTTCCAAAATGGAAGCCCTGGGAGGAAAGGTCCAGTGTTGGGGCAGGGGAATAGAGAAATGGGCAAGGGGTACTTGGGGAAAATGTTGGGGAGCTGGGAGGCAAGAGGTGTGGGATGGGTCAAAAAAGCTGAAAGGAACATTATTCCAAAATCATAGTGCGTCAGCTCTGGAAAGACTCCTTCATTTTACATGGAGAAACTGAGGCCGAGAGGAGGAATGGGCTTGTCCAAGGTTGTATAGTTTAGTGGCATAGTGAAGACTAAAATTCAGGCCTCTTATTTCTGGTCTAGGATTCTTTTTGTCAGGAAGAATGGAAGCTGGGGGTGGGAGAGCCCATGGACCTGGACGCTGAGGGGCCCTCAGGCTGGACTGGCAATGTGTTTCTAAAAGTCAAGCACCCCAGATCCACTATGATAGAACATGTTTTTTCAAAATTGATTACTATGGCCTGGATAGGTTCAAGGTGTCTCAGTGCTAGGTAGTAGGGAGAGGGAGGCTGGGTGCCTTAGAGGCCCAGAAATAGGGGAAGGCTAAGAGAGAGGGAGGTCAGAGCTTCTCTGAGCCAGGCTTGTCTCCCTGTGTCTACAGGAGGTGGGCAGCATCATTGGAAAGGTGAGTGAAAATCGTTCTCCCAACCCTCCCCTCAAGTCCCCTGGTACCATTGCCCCACCCCACCCCTCATGCCTGCCAGAGCATAGGATGGTACTTTCCTTCTTTCCACAGAAAGGGGAGACAGTAAAGAGGATCCGGGAGCAGGTGAGTAGCTGAGGGTATGGGACAAGCTGAGATCTCCCTGGGACATGGACAGACAGACACAGCTGTGTCCTTCTCCAGGGCTAAAAACAAGAGGCTCCCAGAAGAGAAAAGAGGGATTTCCCAGTCTCTGGGAGGGGTGGGGGAGGAGTGGGGCTCAAGGACAGGGAGGGCATCAGAGGGAATTTTCCTGGGGAGAATGGGGCTGGGCTGTGGCCAGATTGATGTGCCTGCCCTCCTCCTGGGGCTTTGGCCCTGGCTGCCCTTGTCCTGTCGTCCTTCCCTCCCCACCCCTCCACCCCCCAGAGCAGTGCTCGGATCACTATCTCAGAGGGCTCCTGTCCAGAGAGAATCACCACTATCACCGGCTCCACGGGTGCTGTCTTCCATGCTGTGTCCATGATTGCCTTCAAACTGGATGAGGTGGGTTACCAGAATCCAGGCCCCAGGGCTTCTGTCTCTGCTCCACCTCCCCCCATCCCAGAGTTGGGCATCGGACGTCTGAATTATGAAACCTAGTCTGGGCACTGAGCCACAGAACTGGGGAGACAGAGGCAGGAGCTGGCTGAATGGGGGAGACGTGACCCCTACCTTCAGGAGCTGATGGTGTGAGGGGAAGAAGACTCACTCCCTCTCCTCTGGGTTCCTTGGTCTCAGGGGGAGAAAGCCTGCCCTTCATGGAACCCCTGACCTGAAGGGGAGATCAGGTCCTTACCTCCAGGGAGCCTGTAGTCTAAAGGGGAGACAGAATACCCCCTGAGGTATTCTTTTAAGACAACACGAACAAATGTCAAATGTCAGCCCAGGCATGTGGCCTTGAGTCCATTAGTCCTGAGAGGATAAAAAATAAAGAAGAAATCAGTCGGATATTAATTAAATCTTCCTGGATGAAGTGAATCGAGTTGCATTTTCAAAGTTGAGGAAAGAGAAGAGAATAATGGGCATGATGAAGCCTGGAGATGGGGTGTGACTGACTCATCTCCTCCCTGTTCTCTAGGACTTATGTGCCGGCCCCCCAAATGGCGGCAGCATCTCTAAGCCCCCAGTCACCCTTCGGCTGGTCATTCCAGCAAGTCAGTGTGGTTCCCTCATTGGGAAAGCAGGGGCCAAGATTAAGGAAATCCGAGAGGTATGGAAGCGCGGGGAGGAGCTGGCCTTCCCAGCCCCGCCCAGGGCGACGACGTCTCTCCCTCCCTGCTCCCTGCCGACCCCATACCCACCGCGGGGGACTCCAGGCGAGGGCCTACGGGGAGCCCTCCATGTCCCTCTCAGCCAGCAAGGGTCTGAGCCATCCCTTGTTTCTGACCCAGACTACAGGGGCTCAGGTCCAGGTGGCTGGAGACTTGCTCCCCAACTCCACAGAGCGGGCAGTCACCGTTTCTGGAGTCCCAGATGCCATCATCCTCTGCGTTCGCCAGATCTGCGCAGTGATTCTAGAGGTACCAGGCTGAGTAGACCCTCTCTGTCTCCTCCCCCCCCCCCATCCCGCCTGGGGATGACTGCTGGTTTGTCCTGGGCATGGGGAGATGAAGGGCGCTGGAGCTTAGGGCCTCAGAGGGTAGTGTTAGAGGCCATGAATGGGGGTGTGGAGAATAGGGGTGGGGGGAGGGACAGATGGTCGAGGAGGATGCCAGAGAGTGAGGGGTAGGAAGTTTATGAGCTGAGTGTGGGCACCAGGTCTTATGCACCCACTAGAGAGGGTAGGTATCACGGGGGCACCTGCTCTCCCTCTGTACCTGTGGGGTGGAAGGGATATGGCATGGGTGGTTTCGGAATTGTCCTAGGTGGAGGTGGGATGGTCAGGGAAAATCAGAGAGTGATTTCCTAGAAAAGTTCATAGAGGTGTGTGTGTTGGGGGGAGGATATTGAATAAGTCAGTAGGAGATTAGTGAGGTATTGGGGTTATCCTCAATGAGGATTTGGGGATTAATGAGGTTTTTAGGTACAGTAGGGCAACTGACAAGGCATAGGGGAGTCATTAGATATTACAGGGGTCAGCTGGGTTATGGGTGGAGGGTCCTATGGTCACTGGGGACCTTGTCCAAATACCCCCCTCCCCATCCCCTCCAGTCCCCTCCCAAAGGAGCTACCATCCCTTACCACCCCAGCCTCTCCCTGGGCACCGTCCTGCTCTCCGCCAATCAGGTAATGAGGAAGGGGTACAGTAGGGGGATTATAAGGGAAGGGGAAAGAGGGGATAAGGAAATCTGTGGGTCCGAGGAATAGGGTGGGGGTAGGGGGACACACTTGGATTCCCTAGACATCCCCTCAGCAGCCTGAACATCTTGCCCCCACTACTCCAGAGAGATGGAGAGGCAGAGAGAAAAGGAGGTTGGCTGTTACCATGGTAACTGCCTCCCTCCCCCACACAGGGTTTCTCTGTTCAGGGCCAGTATGGAACCGTGACTCCAGCAGAGGTGAGTGGGGCCAGGCCCCCTTACCCCCTGCTCTCTTCATGCCCTCCATATTCTCTCCCCTTCCCAGAGCTAGGGCCTGGCAGGCCAGCAGAGGGAAAACTGGCTAAGGCCGGGCATGGCCAGGGGTGGGGGCAAGATCAAGAGCCTGAGGTGGGGCAGGGCATATCCCTTTTTATCTCAGTCCCCCTTCTCCTTGGTCAGGTCAGCAAGCTCCAGCAGCTGTCCGGCCATCCTGTCCCCTTTGCTTCACCCAGCGTGGTACCAGGTGAGTGAGTGCATCCTGGGGCTGGGGCAGGGGCCAGATGCTTTCACAAGGAGGATCCACTCAGCTTTTGGGCCCCAAAGCTCACAGGGTCCAAGAGGCTCCTGGGAGGAAGCCCCTCCCAGGCTTTGAAGCTAGAAAGGACCATAGAGATCAGCTGGTTTTATGCCCCGCTACTTCTCATGTTATAGAAGAGGAATCTGGCCCAGAAATGGGGAGGAGACTTGTCCCAGATCATACCCACAGTAAGCGGAAGCAGGATTCAAACCCAGGTCCCTCTGATTCCAAATCTGGCACTCTTTCTATTATACCCCACTGAGCCCGGGGGGGGTCTACATTGAGCAGCAACAGTGAATAGTGTGGGGGGGAACACTGGACATCTCATCACACCTCTGCAAATAATCTGCTGTGTGGCTTTGGGCAACCCCCTTCCCTCTCCGGGTCTCCATTCCCTCACCTGTAAAATGAGGGGATGAGATGTATGGTCACCAAGGGCCACTGGAGTCTTGACAGTCTGTGGTTCCCAGGATTTCCTGGGCTCTTGGGTCAGGGATAGGGTGAGGGGACTCGGTTGTGATGCCCAGATTGTCCCAATCCTTTGGGTTCTCCTCCCCTCCTTTAGGACTGGATCCCAGTGCTCAGACCAGTTCCCAGGAGTTCCTGGTTCCCAATGATGTGAGCCCAGTGTGGGCAGGGGGCTTGAGTGTTGGGATGGGGGTGGGCCCCCCCCCTTGGTGCTCTAGGGAATGGAAAGTTAAGGATGTAGTCTGGGAATAGGCCTCCACTGCTTCCCTGTTCCCATTTCTGCAACTCTGCGGGGTGGGAGGTGTTAGGGGAGGGGGGCTGCCCTATCCCCACTCTGGGTCTGAGGCAGAGGATGAGACCAAAGTCTCAGGACTGACAGCCTCTCCGTTCCCTTTAGCTGATTGGCTGTGTGATCGGGCGTCAGGGCAGCAAGATCAGTGAGATCCGGCAGATGTCGGGGGCCCACATCAAGATTGGGAATCAGGCAGAGGGCTCAGGGGAGCGGCATGTTACCATTACGGGCTCCCCTGTCTCCATCGCTCTGGCCCAGTACCTCATCACTGCCTGGTGAGCTTTGGGGAAGACAGAGAATGAGTAGAGCCCCTAGGGGGAGGGAAGAACCCGACCCAGGGGGGAGGGAGAAAAACACCCCCAGTCCCGTATTCCTCATCCCACTCCAAGTATCTTCTCAAGGTACAGGACATGTGGGTGACCCAAGACCCAGAAACCGTGGCTGATGTTGACTTTTGTCTCTCCTCTGCTCCCCTCCCCTCCATCGTCTCTGTTTCTCTCCCTCTTCTCGTCTCTCTGCCTTCCACTTTTCCTGCTCTCCTTCCTTTTTTCATCCCTCCCTCTTTCCACATCTCTACTCTGCCCTTCTGTCTGCTCTCCTCTTACCCCTCCCTGGTCATTCTCAACGGCCTCACTTCCCTCCTCATTTCTCCCCTCTTCTCTCCCCATCTGCCATTTTCTCCCCATTCCCTCATCTGTCTTTGTTTCTTTGACCCCACTTTCTACTCAATCACCTGCCTCTAATATCTATCTTTCCTTCCCATTTCTTCTCTTTCTTCTCCTCCTGATGTCTCTTTCTCTGTCCGGCCAACGTCTGTATCCCCTTTTGTCCCCCTTTTCTACCTCTGCCTCCAGTTTAGAGACGGCCAAGTCTACCTCAGGAGGGACCCCAGGCTCGGGTCCTGCAGACCTGTCCGCCCCCTTCTCCCCACCCTTGGCCCCATCACCGGCCCTGACCGCCCTGCCCGCGGCACCTCCAGGCCTGCTGGGCACCCCCTACGCCATCTCCCTTTCCAACTTCATCGGCCTCAAACCGGTGCCCTTCCTGGCCCTGCCCCCATCCTCGCCAGGGCCGCCTCCCAGCGGCCTCACTGCCTACACTGCCAAGATGGCAGCCGCCAATGGCAACAAGAAATCAGAAAGGCAGAAGTTCTCCCCCTACTAAAGCCAGGGAAGGAGCCGGGAGCCAGGGAGTGACACCGCAGGGCGGGGAGCAGCCCTGACTCCTGCTCCCTGGGAGCCCTGTTCTGTTTCTCCCGCCCCCCACCCCCATCACATACACATCAGGGGCCAAGGCAGACGATTCCCTAGCAACATTGACACCCATACGCATGGATTTTAGGGCCCTGTCGGCCTCAGCCAGTGCTGTCCATCCAGGATCTCTTATCTCAGGCCAAGTTGTGGGGGGGAGGTGCTGACCCAATTCTAGGAAGCCAGCGGGAGAGGGAAGAGATGGCAGAGACAGTTATGTAGCCCCAGACCAACTGCCTGGCCAAGGGCACTGAACCCCCTTCCCTTTCCCTGCCCCCTGCTCATCCCTGACTGGGATACAGGAAATCCCAGGGGAGAGAAGAGCCTCTGGGGCCTCCCTCTCTGAGGGGCTGCCTCACATCCATGCAGGCTCCCCCTGTTCTCCACCCACATAGGGCTCCTGCTGCTGGAGCAACATCCTCTTGACTGGAACAGGCTGGCTGGGTAGGGGCATAGCGGGGGGGGGAGGTAGGGGCCAGTATTGGGGGGCACTGCCAGGCAGCTGGGGGTGGGGCGGGGAGGGGGCGGGGCAGGCGCACTCTCAGCAGCCAAGACTCTGTACAGTTTTTTCAATCCAGTTTTTGAATAAATATTCTCAGTGACCTGGAGGTCTCCAGTTGGAATTGGGGAAAGGGACAGGCAGAGAGCTAAGGGGGGGACAAGACTAAAGGCATCTCTAAGAACACATTTCCCATGTGCTGCCATGGCCCCAGGACCATCCTTGCTCCGGGGACCCCTGGAGGGTCTGTCCCCACCTCAGCAGTCTCTTCCCCCTCTAGTCGGGATGGGCCCCCATTCAGTTCTCTATCCCCACCCCGAGGAGCTGTGTGAGGATTCCTGATCCTGCAGTCTTGGCTTTGGCTCTTGGCCCCATCCAGTCCGGCCTGGCTTTTTATACTTCTCCCAGGCATTGATCCTCTGGTTGCCAGGGACTTCAAGGTCATCCCATCTGGGCTCCTGCGCCAGCGTGGTGACCCATTCCTGGCATATGCTGGAGTCTTAAAGCCAATCCCGACCCAGAGGAGATTTCCACAGCCTCCTTTAGTTACCTCCTTGAGGCAGTCCAGGAAGCCTTTTTGTATATCTGACCACGGGGAAAATAGGTGTGTAGGGGGGGCAGGGACTGGAACAATGAAGTTTGGAGTAGGGGAAGGACGCCACTCCTCACTGCCAGTTTGGGAAGAAGGGGCCCAGGGTTACGGGGGAGACTCCAAGGGCTCCTAGCCGGGTGGGAGACTGTCCTCCGAGGAGCAGGGCTGGGCTTGGTTTGTGTCAGGGAAGGCCGGCGGGCAGATGAAAGGAGAGCTCATACACACCCAACCAGGGGCAGAGGCTCCCTTGTCCCTAGCAAAGTCATGGGGGATGGGAGGCTCAGGCTGAACACAGTATGAGACCACCCTGAGAACTGCTAGCGCAGGGGTGTATGTGTATCTGGCTGGCTGGCTGGCTGGCTTCCATCTCTCTGGTATCTTAGGATTCCCTCCTCCTGTTTTCCCTCCCCAGTTTCCTCTTTCAGGTGGTCTCTCCTGGGTCCAGGCCAGGCCCCTCTGCAGTCATTGTGTTTGCTTCCTGGCCAGCAGAAGGATCCAGGGCTGGGCTCTCTGGGTCTCCCCGGAGGAGCTTCAGGAAGCTTTGGGGGAGCCAAGTTCCTGGTGGGCAGTGCCAGGGTCCTGGGACTGCTTGGAGCCAGGCTCGGGCCAGGCGGCTCAGCTCCTCACGCACAGGCCGCTGCAGGAGACCATAGAGGAAAGGGTGGGCAGCGAAGGAAGAGTAGGCCAGCCAGGTGAGGGCCACCTCTATGCCTATGCTCCAGCGCCCAGGGAGCAGACAGGCCGCAAAGAAAGGCAGCCAGCAACCAAGGAACTGGCCTACGACCAGGGCTAATGTCAGGGCTGCCTTGCCACCTACCAGGTGTGGGCTGGCTAGCCGGGGCGGCAGGATGGACAGATGGCTGTCCAGGGAGTCTGAGCGGGGCCGTGGGCCAGGAGCAGGGGGTGGGGGGCGGAGGGCTGCCAGTCTGGCCACACGAAAGATGCTGCCATAGGAGACCAGGAGGAGCAGAGCAGGCAGAGCGAAGGCTAGGATGGCCCAGAGAGGCCGGAAAGGTCCTGGGGGACCAGCCACCAGAGAGCAGTTTGGAGAAGGCCGGCCCAGGAGTGAAAGCCCCCCCAGGAGACCAGACACGCCCCACACGATCCCCAGCACCAAGATCGGCGGGGGCCGGGGCCGGGGCCTCAGTGGATGCAGGATATAGCGGTAGCGCTCCAGGCCAAGAGCAGCCAATGTCAGGGTGCAGGCTGATACCAAGGTGGTGGTGACAAAGCGGGCAGCTCTGCACTGGCCCCGGCTCAGGTACACGGTTCCCAGGCCTGGGGGTGCCGCTAGCAGACCTAGGGGCATCACAGAGACCGCAGCCAGAAGGTCCACCAGGCAGAGGTGGGCAAGGTAGATCGCCTTTCGGAGGGCAGGGGTGCGGAGGACAACAGCCAGCACAGTTCCATTGCCCAGAAGGGTCACCACTTCCAGGAAGGCGGCTGGGATGAGCCCAACCAGACGGGATGATGGGGACCCTGCCCCCAATGTCTCATTTAGCTCAGTCCTGTTGGCCATCTGCCCCCAAGGGCTATGCCATGGCCCTGGGCATCCAAGTGGCTGGTGGGAGCCCTAGCATCCTGGCGACATCAAGCTGCTCCAGGGGAGGGAAAAGGAAAGACAGTGGAGCCGAGTTCCAGTCCTGTCCCCTTGCCCCCGAACTGGGGAGACTAAGGGAAAGTGATATCGGGAAAAAAAAGCTCTGGAAATGGAGTCATGGGGTCTGGGTTCAGGATTCAGTTCTGATACTTACGAAGCTTCGTGACCTGGGACAACTTGCCTGCCTTCTCTGGATCTCAGTTTCTTTATCTGTAAAAGGAGGGGATTGGACTGGCAGGTCTCCCAGGGGTCATTTAGTTCTAAAATCCATGGTTCTAGCCTCCCACTTGACTCCTTCATCCTCCATCCATCACCCCGCCCTCCTGTTCCCCAGGGCCCGCTGGGAAGATCTCACCTCATCCCCGGCCCAGGAAGAGGCAGGGGGGAGCAGGAGCTGGCGAGTCCCTGGGGGGCACCATCCTGCCCCAAGCCGGGCACACAATGAGGAAGGCCGAGCCCTCTACCCAGGGCTGCGGCTGCTCTTCCCGGAGACGGTACAGGCTGTCACTCCTGGCGCTGCCCTTTAAAGAGCGCTCGATCCCTGGGGGGGCTGGTGAGGCCAGCCCTGGGTCCTAGCAGCAGCCTGCTCGCCTTGGAGTTCAGTAGCAGACGTTTTTCTAGCCCTTTAGGTCTTGGTCACTCTCTGGGATGAGGGGGACGGGTCAGTCCAGGCATCAAGAATAGAACCACAGACCCTGAGGGGCTGATGGGCCCCCGAGACATCTGGGGCGCCTGGTCCACTCTACACCTGAACAAGAATTTCTCCACATCCTCCTCAAGGGGTTCTCCATCCTTCATTTGGAGACCTTCAGTGATGGGGAACTCATTCTCCCTGGAAAGCCCATCCCCTGCCTTCTATTGAGTTGAAATCGGGCCCCCTGTAACTTCGGGCTGTTGCCCTGAATTCTGCTCTCTGGGGACAAGCAGACAAATGCAACCCTTCATGACAGCCTTCAGATACTTGAAGCTAAGCCTCCAGGCCCCCCCTTCTCCAGGACAGATACCCCAGTCCCTTCCACTGCTCCTTGGGAGCTAGTCCCCTCCCCAGTGTGATTGCCCTCCCTTCACCACATTCTAGCCCCAGCTCTGCCACTAGCAGGCTGCATGCCCTTGGGCTGTTCCTTCTTCTCCAAGGGCCTCAGTTCTCTCCTCTGTAAAATGGGGAGAATAATCCCCAATTATTCTGCTGCATAAATGTGAAGAAGTATTATCATACCCCAAACACACAAGGGGAGAGTTGGGATCACTCAGTCCCTGCCCAGAGTAGAAAACTGAGCCCCCCTCAATCAATTGCCAACCATTTATCCATCACCTCCTACTCTGGGTGAGGCGTTGGGGATACTGACACAGACGAGCTCACTCTCTCCCATCAAGCTGTCAGAAGAGAGATCAGTAAGGTCCAGGGGTCTCAGCTTCCCTTGGCCTGGCTCAAGGAGACAGCAAACTGGGGACAAAAGCCTGGGCAGATGAAAGGGAGAGAAGATTGCTAACTGCTTCTCCTCAAGAGGATCTCAAAGCACCTTGTCATGGGAGTTAAAGTTGGAGTAGCACTTAATGATTATTTAACCCATCATCTCTTCCCCCCATTTTACAGATGAGAAAACTGAGGCTCAGGCTTGGGCAATGACTTGTATAAGTTCATACAGGTGGTAACAGAACCAAATGCTCGATTCCAAATCCAGGGCTCTTTTCACTGTAGAAGTACACATCGCCAACCTCCTAGCCCCTGGTCACAGCTGCCCCTAGCCCAGAGCACCATCACTCCTGACAGCCCAGGAAGGGAGAGACCGTTAGGGAGAGAAGGGCTGGAAATGGAGAGCCAGAAGCAAAGAGAGGCGGTTAGCTGGACATACTTTATTCCTTCCTGTTTCATTTACACGCAATGCACAGGTGCTGGGCCAGCTAAGCCTCGTCCAGGCGAGGGGGCTCCACGACCCAGGGACTCTAGCCTGGGCCCTGGCCAGCTCAGAAGTGCAGCTGCAGCAGGTAGCGAAGCCGGCACTGGCTCTCTTTGTAGATCAGGTATTCGCTCTGGGAGAACGTGGACTCTTGGAAGTCAGGCATGGGCACAGGCGGGCCTTGGGGCACTGTCACCTTATGCCCTTCCAACTCGAGCGTCGCGTCCTGGCGGGGGTCTGTGGGGACAGGGCCAGCCAGTCATTCCCACGCCTCTACCCGCCTCTAACCCGTCCTGCCCCTCCTGCTGCCCAGAGCTCCCTCAGCTGTGGGCTTAGAGAGACTTCTGGGGTCTGGAACACAAACACGATTTAGAACCCTAGAACGTGGCCCATCAGAGCTGGGAGGAACCATAGAGAGCAGCCAGTCCAGCCCCTCCATACAAATGGGAAAACTGAGGCTTAGAGGAAGAGAAATGGAAACAGACTTCCCAGCTCCTTCCCTCCCCCCAGGGTCCTTCTGCCTCCTCAGAGTCCGTCCCTGCCTTTAGGCAAAGCTCAGTTTCCCAGCCTTCCCTCCTGCCCTTTCCTCCCTTCATCTCTCTCCCTCCTCCCTAGTTTCTGCTCCCCTCCCCTACCCACCCACCCCCACCCCCGATCCTGGATAAGTCATTTCAACTACAATAATATAAATGAAAAGAACAGTAAGACAAAGTCAAACGCAGCATCTTTAAAGTGACCCAGCTTCGCTGAGAGGAAAGAAAGCCATGAGCCTTTTTGGGAGAGGTTGGGGGGGGGTGTCCTATGGGTATGGAATGGTGCATACAAGCATGCATTCTGTTGCCACTTAGCTGTGTTTCTTTTGTTAGAAGGGCTGGGGGGGGGGGAGGTTGGATTGATGTCAAACAAAAGACACCAATAAAACTTAAAAACCTAAACTAAAAATGTGAATTATTACAAATGGTTATGAGTGGTTCAGTGGGCATTTCTGCCTCTGGCACCTCTCTGAGACTGTCACCTGCCCATCCAGGGCTAATCTCCTCAGGGGAAGAGCAACCCCCCAAAGGGAACTCTACACCAGTGAAATCAGTTTCAGATTTTTTTTAAAAAAAGAGGCATTTTTATCAAAGTAAAATGCTTTTACCAAGAAATAAAAATAAGTTATTGGCCGATTTCTTCTTTATAAAACAAGGAGGTTAGATTGGATGGTTCTTAAGGGCCACCCCATCTGTGACATTAGAGATGTGCTCTAAGGCCTCTCCCAGATGTCATCTTCCCAACCTGTGGCTCCAGGTTATCTCCCCTCTGCCCTGCCCCCCCCAAGCCCCTCTGCTTCCCATCTACACCCTACACTCCCCTAAGCCCTCCCCACACTCAGCAGTGCCCAGAACTCACCAGGCTCTGTGTGTCCCTGGGCTACGATGCTGTGATACCCTGGGGGTGGCTGCCGAAGGCTATAGTCATCTTTGGTGATGTGGTGCTCCTGGCCCAGAGCCACCTCACTCAGGAACATGAGGCCAATTTTTTGAGAGGTACAGCATACTGCAGGACAGGGAACTCTGGTCAGATCCCTGAGCTCTGCCCTGTTCCGGGCACAACCTCAGATAGCATAGACAAACACCCTACTAGGAGATGAGACAGGGAAGGGATGGAACAGGATAAAAGAAAATTCTCATGAACTTAGGGTAGAGGCATCAGAAGGAGCTTTTAATCCAGGATACATGCAAGGGTACTTACATGGACAGAGTGAAGGTTTGAAGGGGACAGAGAAGTTATCACCAACAATTGCCCAAGAGGCCAACTGGATCCTTCCGGACAGGGTAGGGATCAGACGAGCTTGGACTGAGAAGCTCAGGGCAGCCAGGTGCATTGGCCAATTAGCCCTGGGCATCTCTCTGGTTTCTGTCTATCATAAATTTTACTCTTACTCTCCCATATAAATAAATTACTTGCTAACAGGCTCAGCTGAATCTTGGGTCCTGAAGAGGGCAAATGTCTAACCAAATAAACATGGTGGTGGTGGTGGTGGTGGTGGTGGCAAACAGTACAGGTTTGAGGCAGGCTAAGGATAAGGGTTCTGAGAATGAAGCACTAAGGCTGGCTGTTCATTCATTCATTCATTCATTCATTCACTCATTCAAAGAGTAACTGTTCATGACCTACAATGCACAGAGCTCTGTGCTAAGTCCTGAGGGGAGATACAAAGTTCAAAAAAGGCACCATCCCTACTTTCATGATGCTCACAATCTAAGGGAACATGGCATATGCAAAAATAATTTTAAATTTTGAGAAGATTTGTCATTTCATTCTTGGGGACACATTATAGTTGTCTCTAAGCAGAGGCACCAAGACACAGTGGAGACACGTAGGCGGATCTAGCACCAAGAAGACTCGGGTTCCAATCCTGCTGCAGACACTTACTAGCTGTGGGGCTACTCTCTGAGCCTCACTCTCCTCATTCACAAAATAGGGGTGAGGGTAGCACCTGCTTCTCTGAGGTCCTGGGAAGATGGGATGAGATGCCGTATGGGGAGCTCTTTGCAAATCTTAAAGTGCTCTCTAAAGGTCAGCCCGTTGGATGACTGGGCACAGGCTCCACCAGGATGGGGAGCCGGGTTGGGTAGCTCTCACTGTGGGCCGGGGCAGACTGAGTTTGAATTTGCCATGACTCACGGAGGCTGAGGAGTAGAGGTGGGGTAATCTGTAGAGCGTGTGGAGCAACCACCACAATAACACAGAGGAAGACAACACTGAAAGACAACAAAACCCCGATGGGTGTCACGACCAATCCTGATACTCTAGGACTGATGATGAAACATGCCTCCCTCCTCTCAGCAGAAGGGTGGTGGACTATCGGTATGGAACGGGGCATACTTTGTCAGACAGGGAGAATGTGTTGCTCTGTTTTTCTTGCCTGCACTTTTTTGTTATAAGGAGATGGCGAGTCTATTGGGAGTAAGGTAGGAAGTCATTGGCAAGTGGTAGGGATGTTTAAAAAAAGTATTCGTGAAAAATGTATATATGAGACAAGTCTAGAAAAGGATGGTGCCAGATTGCAGAGGGCCTTGAATGACAAGCCAAAGACTTTGGACACTACCTGGTGGGCAGTGGGGAGTCCCTGAACATTTTTCCGCAGAGGAGTGATACAACCAGCTACATAGTCAAGAGAGGCTATTGTGGCAGCAGTAAAAAGATGACTTGGAAGAGGGAGAGGGTGGTGATGGGCATGGCTGCTGGGGACTGGACCAGAGGGGACGGGATGGGTGAGAGAGATGCTTGGCAAGGAGAACAGACAGGAGCTGGGGATCTGAGAGGTCAGGGAGCCAAAGACTACCCAGAGGCTGTGAAAATGGGAGCCTGGGTGAGCAGCTGTGCCACAGACAATGAAGGAGTTTAGAAGGAAGAGCGGCTCTAGCGGGAAAGAGGACCAGAGGCTTGGCTCTGGTTTGGGATGGGTTGAGTTTGAGGTGTTTGGGACATGTCCTGTAGGCCTTTGGAGATGCAGGTCTGGAGCTCAGATCACAAGGGATGTGGGACAAGCCCCAGGCCCAAATGAATAGAGGGATCTGGGGGCCTTGGGTTCTGGGAGGAGCCATTTCTCTCAGATTCTACCATCAAGGGGTTCTGAGGAGAACTTGGCACTGCCACAGAGATCTCTCACCGTAACAAGCTGACTTGCTGTTCTCAGAAGCAAAGTAGATACCCTGCCCCACACGCCCCCCTGAGTGGGGCATGATCCGGAGGCCACTCTTGAGGATGGCAGCCACCACTGCCACGTTAGTTCCATGCCACAGCAACCGTCGGTTCTCTAGCTTGTCATGGGCCTGGAACCGCTCTCCCTGGAACACGGGATGGGGAGGTGGGTCAGCACAAAGCTTCAGGTTCTGGGGCCTTACCTAACTGTTCACATGGGGAAAAATGAGGCCCCAGACCTCAGCCAGGGAAGCGACCTAGATGTTTGTGGCAAGGGCCTGAAAGGCCCTGGGCTCTCCACCTCCTCCCATTAATATACAAAGTCGGGACTTGGGGCAAGTCACTCTCCTTTTCATGGGCCTATTTTCTCATCTATAAAATGGTGGAGATGAACTGGCTGATTTCTGAAGTCCCTCCCAGCTCTAAATTGTATGGTCCTATGTATAAATGGGCTGTGGACCAGGAAAAAAAAAGGTTTTGGCAGGACTTCAAAGAAATGAGGCAACATATTTTCATGTTGTCTCCTCCAGCTGTCTTCTCTCTGGGAGGGGGTGCTCAGAGAAGGCCAGCAATGGGAAGATGAGGGTAGTGGGTGGTCCTGGCTCCTCTCACCTCCCCCTCTCGATTAATTTTCCAGACATGGAGAACGCGGAGATGAGGCCATCCTGTCTTCTTCAGGTAGGTTTCAATCAGCTGTGGCAAGAAGGGGAGAAAGCTGAGGCCACTAGAAGCTAGCATGAGGAAGGTAAGGAGGGCTGAGGGTATGCAGGAGGCATTTGGGTAGGGGGAGGCTGGCAGCTCTACTGAGGCTTCAGGGCTCCAGCGTCTAAGGGCTGCTACTTTAGACCCAGAGCCACCAGAGTAGGCTGGCTAAGTCTCTTTTACAATTAATAGCATCTGGTGGTAGCTACAGTGAATACAAACCAATTTAGGATTCTAGAATCATAGAGTCAGTGTGGAAGGACCTTAGAAATCACCAAAGCCAACCTTCTCATTGATCATATGGGGTACCTAATGGTCTAGAGCAGGGGTGGGGAAACTGTGGCCTTCTAGGTCCTCGAGTACAGCCCTTTGACTGAGTCCAAGTTTTACAGAACAAATCCTTTTATGAAGGGGATGTATCCTGTGAAGTTTGGATTCAGCCAAAGGGCCACACTGGAGGACCTAGAGGGCCACATGTGGCCTCGAGGCCACAGGTTCCCCACCCCTGGTCTAGAGAAATGGGACTTGTCCAAGGTAGACAAGGGGCAGCCAGGATTAGAATTCAACTTCTCCCAGTGTCCAACGTCCCTGGAATCTGTAAGATGCCAGTCTGCAGCAGAGTGGATAGAGACAGAGTGGTGAGAGTTGGAGGGCCCAGGTGCCCCCTTCTCCTTCCCATGACTTCTTCTGTCCAGGGATAGCCAAGGCTGGTAGAGGCCAGGCCACTGTGCCAATGCAGGTTTCTGAGCACTCTCTGCCACCACCCTTTTTTGTGCCACTTACCTTGTACTCATGAGTATCAGTTGCCAGTGTCTGCAACTTGCATTGCAGGAGCTTGTAATCACGGTCCAGTGGGTGAGGCACTTCTTCCACCTCTATCTTCTTTTCTTCTTCCTCCTGTCCAGCCTTCAGGGCCTGGGCCAGCTCAATGTCAGCCAGGACCTGGGATGATACGTAGGTTGGCCCCAAAGCCCACGTTCTTCTGCCTACTCTACCCAACCGTCTTCTCAGCCCAGCCCACCCTCTCTGCCTCCCTCTCCATCTCCAACAGTATCTTCTTTCCATGTCTTTCATTTGACCATCTCTGGTCATTGCTTAGCCCTGTCCATTTGACCTTCTTGCTCATGTCTGTCTCCTACCACCTGTCCATCCCCCATATTTCTATCTGTCCTCCCCAGCCATCTGTCCCATCATCTCCAATTCCTATCCATCTGCTTCCCCCATCTCCATCCATCTCCCCTTTCTCTAGCTGCCCCTTATTTCTGTCCATCTTTGCAACTGTTCACCCCCATCCTTTTCCATCTGTCTTTCCACTCTCAACCATCTGTCTCCATCCCTGTCCATCTGTCCCATCACTTCCATCTGTCCCTTCCCCCAACCTGTCCATCTATCCCCTAGCTCTCACCAACAGCATGTCCTTCTTGGCCTGAAGGACCTCCAGAGAGTTGATGGGTGGGGGCCGGGCCCTGCCAAAGTTATGGGGGATGATTGTGTAGAAGAGGGAGGACAGCTCCTCCAGCTGTTTTGCCTCTGGGCTCTTCTGTAGGGCAGCCTCTAGGGCCTCCAAGGCCTCAAAGCCCTTGGCAATCTGCTGCTTGCTCAGCTTCCCCAAGGGCATCTTCTTAACATCTGTTTGGCAGGGTAGGGGTAGGAGAAGGAGCAAGATGAGGCCTAGGCTCTGAGGCATGGCTACCTCCAACTCCTATCCCCCTTAATTATCCCTTCCCCAATTCCCTCCCATTCTGGCCTCACCAAGGTTCATGGTCTTCATCGCATCATTGAACATATCATGGCTGAAGATGAGGGACACCAGTTCCTGGGTGGGGGCATCTAGGGTACAGGGCTTGACATTCCACTGACCAGCCTGGACCCCATTCACACTGTCCACCTGGGGAAGGGAAGGACGAGGTCATGCCAGAGCTAGCAGCTGCCCCTCTCCCAAGTCCTAAGCTTGGGCCTCCCTTTGTGGGACAATACAGGGCCACTGAAGGGCAGTCAGAAACTGGGGGCTTTGATTCCATAACTCACATAACTGCCTCAGCCCCCATTTCTCTATTGCCTTAAGGTTTACAAAGTCCTTTCTTCATGATAGCTATCTGAGGAAGAAAGTGCCAAAACTACTATTTCTTCTATAAAGAAAGAAACTGAACATGTTGCCCATGACCATGTAGCTAGAAGGTGCTCTGAGTTTATGTTACTAGCCCCAGTGCTGCCTGGCCTCTCCTTGTCTACTCAGGATGAGCCTGGGAGGAGGTGGTGGGGAGGGCACCCACTGCCCATTGTCCATGAGATAAGGTCCAAGATGCACAACTCAGCATTCAAAGCCTTCCATCCTCTGTCTCACCAACTTCTCTAGCATCTCTCCCATCTACTTGTAAAGAAAGAAGGAATGGTAAAAAGGCTTCACAAACAGCCACATTTCTATTTCACTTAAATGTTACACAGCCCTTTACTTACCCCACCCTGGTCAGGGACGGCATTGACCCAGCTCTGGGTCAATTCCCGATGCACTCGAGCCCAGTTTCCGTCATGCCCCAGCCCCTCCCCACCTCTCAGACCACGATCCCTCCCCTTGCCCCCACTGGCCTGAAGAGAACAGAAAATCCTTCCTTCCCTCAATCCCCTTGAGGATATAATTTACCATGTTGCAGATTCAGAGATTTCAAAGCTGGAAAAGATCTTGGAGATCATCTAGTCTAACCTTATTTCACAGAGGCGGATACTGAGTCTCAGAGAATGGAAATGACTTGCCCAGGGTTATCCAGTTAGTAAGTCAACAGAGACAGAATTTGAATCCAGCGTTTTGTTTTGTTTTACATTCTCTTGGAAGGAGATGAGGAAATACAAAATATGCAGTTGTTTTTTTATCACTAATAAAGATCTTCCCACAGCTGCCTAAGAAGCAGGTAGGCCCAGCCATGTCTTTGCCTTCCCAATCAGCTTTGGCCCACAAGAGTCAGATTCTCTTCTCCCCTCCCCTCTCTCCTAGCGTAACCAGGCTGGCAGCGTTCCCCACATAGAAGTCCCCGACACAGCACCAGACTAATTGTCATAAAACCCTACTAGACCCACGTGCTCTCCTTGCTCTGAAGCCTCCTAGGGCTCACTATCACCTTGGCCTCTATCATCTAGCTCCTTTTCCCATAAAGCTGTGTGAGCTTTGTCTCCCCAACAAAGAGGAGGATTCCTGGTCCATTCTTTCAGTTTTCCTGCTTCTGCCCTTGGGCTCATGCCTGTCCCCTCCACCTGGAATGTCCTCCTGCCACAACTACCGTGCCTATCCTTCATGGTCCAGTTCAAATACCATCTCCTCCAGGAAGCCTTCCCTGACACCACTCAAAAAAACCCAACCAACCAAACAAAGAAACAAAAACCCTTTCCTGCTTCTGAACATCCACAGAACTGTGACTGGCTTTCCCTTATGACCTGTGTCATAATCTGCCTCACTGTATAATTATTTGGATCCGTATCTAAGCCCCTCTACAGACGGTGAATTTGGGGGAACAGTCACCTCTGTTTCCTCAGCACAGAGCCCTGCACACAGGAGGAGTTCAGGAAATGTCTGATGAATGAGTGAATGAGGAAGAGAGAGAAGGGAGGGGAGTGGGTCAGATGGGATCACCGAGCCATGGAGAACGGCACAGTATGCCTTAATCATCTCCAGATGGAGGGGCCATAAATCATACTTCCTAAAAGAACTGGATTGTTCTGCATGTCTTCCCCTTTTATTCTATGGAATCCTAGTTTCTTAGCACTGCAAGAGTCCTTGGAGGTCAAAAAGATTCATAGACTGTCAGAGTTGGAAGGAACCTTAGACAAGACTTAGTCTAATCTCATTTTATAGAAGAGGCCCAGAGAGGTTGAGGTCACACAGTCAATAAACAGCAGAATCAGGACTTGAACCCAGGTTTCTTCCTCCTCCTCCTCCTCTCCTCCTTGTTCTTCTGTGGGTTTTTTAGGGGTTAAGTGACTTGCCCAGGGTCATACAGCTAATAAAATGTTGAGTGTCTGAGGCCAGATTGAACTCAGGTCCTCTTGACTCCAAGGCCAGAACCCTATCTACTGCACCACCTAGCTGCCCCAGCTGCCTATTCTTTGCTGGATCCTTCTATTCATTGGAAAATACTTGCGCAGAACTTCAGAAAAAATTAGAAGACACTTTGGCAAAAAATAGGCTTCAATCAGCGTCTTCCATGATCTCTCACAATCAGTTCCAAATGGACACTTGGTTTAAATAAATAAAAGGCCATTAGAGAAAAACAGTCAGAGGTATCTTTCACAACTACATTTACAGGTAAAATTCTTAACCAGTTTTGTAGAGACGAGACCACAAAAAAGCACAGACGAGATCACAAAGATAAAATAGACTGTTTTGAATATAAAAAATTGAAAACATTTTTCATGAACAAAATGAATGCAGCTAGGATAAGAAGGGAAGCAGTTGATTGGAGGAAAAGATCTTTGTATCTAGTATCTCTGATCAGGGTCTGATATCTACAGCGCATAGGTAGTTAACACAAATATATGGGCAGTGAGGTGGCACAGTGGATAGAGTGCCAGCCCTGGAGTCAGGAGGACCTGAGTTCAAATGTGACCTCAGACACTTACTAGCTGCATGACTCTGGGCAAGTCACTTCACCCTGTTTGCCTCAGTTTCCTCGTCTGTAAAATGAGCTAGAGAAGGAAATGTCAAACCACTCCAATATCTTTGTCAAGAAAACCTGAAATGGGGTCATGGAGAGTCAGATAAGACTGAAAAAACTCAACAACAACAAAAATATAGACCCAGAGACATTCACCAATGGATGACTGGTGAAAGCACATAAAAACAGTTCTCAAAAGAAGAACTGCAACTATTGATTTTCCTTGTGAATAACTACTCCTTTAATTACTAATAACAACGGAAATGCAAATGAAAACAATTCTCAGGTTTGGCTTCATACCCAGCAAATGGGTAAACGTGACAAAGATGGAAATTGTTAATGTTGAAGAGGCTGCAGGAAGACAGACATACTACCGTACCCTTGGTGGAGCTACGGATTGGTCCAATCATTCTAGAAAACAATTTGGAATTATAATAAAAGGAAGTGACTAAACCATCCCTTATCTTTGATCCAGAGATCCCCCTGCTAGGCACATACCCAAGGAGAAAGAACAAAGGTAGGAAGAACTATCCCACATATACTGAACCATTCATTCTAGCACTTTTTGTCGTAGTAATGAGCTGGAAACAGTGTAAGTGACCGCTGGGTAGGAAAGATCCTTCCGAATCATGAAGTTTATGAACACGATGGAATATCATCAAGCCACGAGAAGCAAGGAATAGGAAAAATTCAGAAAAGTGTGAGATTTCTATGAACTGATACGCAGCGACGCAGATCCAGGAAAACAACAGGCACAAGGATTACAATGACACAATGGAAAGAATAATTCAAGAAACATGAGAGCTGGCCTTCAAGTCCAGGAGACGTGGGTTCAAGTCCCACCTCTGACATGTTGTCTGTGATTACGATCAAGTCACTGACCCTCTCATTGTGCCAGGCAATTCTCCAAAACTGTAAGTTGTAGAAGGAGTTCCTTATATCAGTGAAATCATACTTCCACTATCCTCAAAACTACAAATAGTATCCACAGAAAACAAAAAAGTTTTATAATCTATAATAGAAAAATACTATAAGCTTCCAAAGAACATCAGGAATAAAGCAAGAATACCCGGCGTCGCCACCATTACTTAATATAGTTCTAGAAATGCTAGCTACAGTAAAAAGAGTAGAAAGAAGCTGAGGAAATAAACATGAGCAAAGAGGAAACGAGTTTTGCTGTTTTCAGATGACACGATGGCTGAGAAGGAAATCAGTTAGTATTGATCACTTTGATTCATTTTTGGTTTGTAGGAGTAAGCTCCCTTCTTTAGGAAAAGCTAGACCTAACAGCTAAGCCAACTTAACATAGATATTTTCTTAAGCCTAGGTTGCCTATAGATTTAGTGAATAGATTGATTAGACTTTATCATTTAGTAGTGGATAATTTAGAGTAAGACCGCTGTGTAGGAATAAAATAATCATAGGGTTGTAAGACTTTTTTTAAAGGCCAAGTTCCCCTCTCTGGTGGCTAGAGAAAGAGGGGTTGACTAAAGAGTAATTTCTCTTTCCAGTCTTAGTGGATAAGCTCCCTTTTTTCTTGAGCTAGAGGTTAAGTCTAAGTTGAGTAATGGAATCTTTCTCTGATAAAGACTTAATATCCAAGACATAAAAAGAATTCATATAAATATATATGAATAAGAGACAAATCATCAAAGTTCTCAAATGAAGAGATATCAACAGCCATATGAGGAATGCTCCAAGTCATTAATGATGTGAAAAATGTAGGTAAAACAACTCTGAGGTTCTACCCCACACCCACCAGATTGACAAAGATATCAAAAAAGGTGAAGTGGCAATGTTGCATGGAAGGGATATGGGAGGATAGGTATGCCAGTGAACTGTTTACGGAACTGTGAATTGGTTCCACCATTCTAGAAAAACAATTGGGAAGCACTTTCAAAAATTCACTAAAGTAGGGGCAGCTACGTGGCACAGTGGATAGAGCACTGGCCCTGAAGTCAAGAGGACCTGAGTTCAAATTCAGTCTCAGACCAAACACTTGACACTTACTAGCTGTGTGACCTTGGGCAAGTCACTTAACCCCAATTGCCTAAAAGCAAAAAAACAAAAACAGAAAAAAAATTCACTAAAGTGTAAATACCCTTAAATTTAGTAATATTACTATTAGTCACATACTCCTAAGAAGGTCAAGGTCAGAGAGGGAAAGGACTCATATACACAAAAATATTTGTAGAAGCACTTTTTGTTGTAGCAAAGAACTAGAAACAAAATAGGTGTCCATCAA